AAATATATATATATATAAAATAAATTTTTTAACAATCTTTTTGGTTGCTTACGATTGCTCGCTTAAATTAACAAAAAAGCAAAATAAATTTTGCAGTTGTATTTGATAATGAATAATAAATGCTAGTAATAATCATCTGTCGATTGAACGTCGATAACCACATATTTTACATCGCGATCGTGAGAACTTTGTGTTATTGTACGCATACCGAATGTTTTCTCTGTAATTTCATGTTAAAAAGAAATTTTGTGCATATACATATTGTATATTACATAATATTTTCAGTTTTATAATATAATTTTTCAAATATGTTATGTATGAAATGTGTAAAATAATGTAAGTAATAAAAATGTAAAGAAATATATATATATTATAAAATGGGGTAACTTCAGCCTCTATTTTGTAATTCTTACAATTAACGATAGTAACTGTAAATATCGTTATATATTGTCATTAAGCAGATTTCATACATGAAAAACCTACAATGACAATATAACGACATCAATACTGTCATTAAGAGTTAAGTTACAGAATAAAAGCTTTCGTCCTAAAAATTTTGACAGAAAATGATAAAAATACATATGCATATGTCCAAAATCATAACATAAGACTCTTAAAACTTTTTTAAGACAATAGTTTGATTAATTCTTTATAAGATTACGTTTTTAACATGTCATATGTCCAGATTTTGCGTGCTGTATTGTCAAAATTTGGGCTAAATTTATTCTGATTTTAGACGAAAGTTATCCTAATGTTTTATGGTACTGTAAAGGAAAGAAGACTACCGATCGGATGGCAGGGGATGTGGTGGAGGGCCTCTATAAATTAACTTGTTTTTACCAAATTATATGACGTATATGCGTAATTCGAGTGTAACATATTTTATAACTTTTTTGTATAATATATCGGTTTAAAAGTTAAAGAATAAAGAAAATGTAAAAACTGAAGTAGCAAGCTGACGTTATTTGTCGTCATTTAACGTTAAAATAATGTTTTCAATATTGTTTTGATATCAAAATTATGATAAATAACATGACTTGCTGAAATAAAAAAAAGAGGACCGTCGATCATAATCGATGGGGGTGGTGGAGGGCCTCTTATAAGTTAAATTGTATATGCCACATAATCTGAAAAATGTATAAAAGTAATTTGATTATAACGTACTTTATGATTTTTTTACATAGTGTGTTATATTAAAAGTAAAAAAAAGAAAAAAAAAGAATCTTCAAGTAACAAGCTAATGTTATTTGTTGTCATTTGGCATCAACTTAAATTAAAATGTCAGTTTACTGAAGTCAAAAAGAGGACTATAATAGCTACGTTTAGCAGGGGGGAAAACAACTTTGCAGCTGCTGTAAAATTCTTTTGTAAGATTTTTTAATATAATTTATTCGTACATTTAGATAAAAGAAAACAATGACAAGAACGAATCGTCTTGAAGAATTTTACAATAATTGCAAAGCTGCTTTTTTTTTCTAAACGTAGCTAATATCTACATTTACTGGAAGTTAATATAGTTCGCTAATAAATCTATTGTGTATGTGCAAAAAAACCTATTTTCGAATGCACTTATATATATCATCAGTATATATAGTTCCATAGTTCTCAATTGTATTTATTCATATAAAAAGAGAAATATTTAATATTGCATGTATTTCAATAATTTTCCAAATCATTTCAACAAAAGATGT